GAATTAGTAAATTTGAAGGCAAACAAACATATGAGGGGAAATGTCAAAGAGATGAAATTGTGAAGAAAATAGGCAAGAGACATGGAAGACGTATTTTTCTTAGCTCTATAACAGCAGGTTATATTAGAGACTAGCTAGCTATTTCCAAACCTATTTCCCCTTTATCCTGGTCACACAGATGGACTGTATTTCCAAGCCTCACTTGCAGTGTGTTAGCTATGGCCAGTGTAATGTTGGCAGAAGTGGTATGTATCACCTACAAGCCTGGTTCAGAATAAACCTCCAAGCACTAGTTATTACTCTCTTTTCCTTGCTGCTATAACCTTGGAAGCCACAGGCTGAAGTGGTAAAGCCACAAGTTGGAAGAGTCCCGGATCCTTGAAGATTACTTGAAGGGCCACCCTACAAGAACATCCATTTTGGACTTTACATGAGCTAAAAATAAGACTTCTATGGTGAGATTTTGGAGCTTAGCTGTAACAGCAAGGCAGCGTTATTTAAGGAAAAGAGAAACTGGTGTTGGAAGAATGGTGTTGCCATAACAAAAATAATTTAAAGTAAACGGCATTAGTTTAAAGATCAGGCAGTAGGCAGCAAGAATATGTATTTCTTTCACAAGTCGAGAGCCTGGAGAGCCCTGTAAAAATGTAACAAAACAGCTGGGAAAGTAAAACCTGTAATAAATGAAAAAGCACACACCATGTGCCTACTGAAGCTCTAGAAGTGAATGGACAGTCACAGTCACAGTGTATACTGGCATTTACTTCCTGCTTTTAGCACGGTATTACATAAACAGATGAGCATAGAAAAGAATTTACTGATTGCGCCCTGGCCGGTTTGGCTCAGCGGTTAGAGCATCGGCCTGCGGTCCGGAGAGACCCGGGTTCGGTTCCTGCTAAGGGCATGTTCCTCGGTTGCAGTTTGTCCCCGGCCCTGGTTGGTCGAGCGGGTGGCAGCCACTCGATGTGTCTCTTTCACATCGATGTTTCTCTCTCTCTCTCTCTCTCTCCCTCTCTCTCCCTCCCACTCTAACTGTGCAAAAAATGGAAAAATGTCCTCCGGTGAGGATAAAAAAAAAAAAAAGAATTTACTGATTGCAAACTGACCTTATAGGGAATAGAAGTCCAGAAACTTAGGCCTCAGAGGCTTATAAAGCTAAACACAGATCCTCAACAGTAAAAGAAAAGAAAGGTTAAGGTTTGAGGAAGAAAGTCCCAAGAAGACTTCCAGTTGAACAAAATGACTCAATCCTGAGGCAAAGATCAGATTCAGGTATGGTCTTCCCACACATTATTTCACAGGGTCTCAAAACAGAGCCACTAATGTAAGAAGGTGACAAAATGCAAGGACTATGCTAGCCCATCTCTACTACCTCTCTGAATATTGGAGAAGAAAAATAAAGTCCTGAAAATTCTATTTAGAAAAGAACACTGGGTATGATATCCACATAGAATCTGTTGGAAAGAAACAGATCAAAGGCCTACTAAGTTTTGAGGCAATTACAATGCCCAAAACCCATAAATCTGGACTAAATAAACCATTGGCTGTTCATAGCCTTAAAACAACTTTCAGGCCCCTAAACTTGCAGAAACAGAAAGTAGGAAGGGAGGGTCCTGGCCGGTTTGGCTCAGCAGTAGGAGCATCGGCCTGCGGACCAGAGAGTCCCGGGTTCGGTTCCAGCTAGGGGCACATACCAAAAAAAAAGAAAGAAAGAAAGTAGGAAGGGAGGGAGGGAAGGATGGAAGGAGGTAATTAGTTATAGATATAAATGTAGATATACAGAAAGAAAGAGAGAAACCTTCTAAGGAAGGTATACTCCCAGCATCGACTTCAGAAGTGTACATAGGAAAAAAAAGACAAAGATTGCTCGGCCCGTATGGCTCAGCGGATTGAGCATCAGCCCATGGACTGAGAGGTCCCAGTGCAATTCCTGGTCAGGGCACATGCCAGGGTGGCAGGCTCCATCCCCAGTGGGGGGCATATGCAGGAAGCAACCAATCAGTGTTTCTCACATAGATGTTTCTCTCTCTCCCTTCCGCTCTCTCTCTAAAAAAATCAAGAGAAACATATTTTAAAAAATAATAAAGAAAAAAAAAAGACAAAACCAGGGTACAGCCAGAAACGCAGAAGAGCAATGGGCAAGAAGTCAATGTCTAAGCAAGAAGTTCCCCACTACCAAGGCAGAAGGATTTCCCAAAGCCAGCCCAAAAACATTACATGATTTGCTATGAAGCAGGGAATATTGTGCGTCTCCCATTATTCCCTTTTCTACATGAGAATTTTGTTGTAGTTGTTCTATTTTTGCTTCTTTCTTGGATATTGGGCGTGGGTGGGGACACAGGTCCAGATAACTTGTCATCCTAGTTCCTGATCACCAGCCCTTAAAGAGACATATATGAATCTGATGGAGAATGTTGAGCATTTCTGGAAGATACTAGCCTTTGAGATGGATGTAGTTACTGGATGGGATATTGGCTTGCCCCTCTTAAGGAAGGGCAAGTGTATTCTATGGATGAAAGAAAGAGTGAAGATATATTTGACAACCAGGCTAGACTGTGCCAGAGACTAGCTATTTTCTACCAACCCTATGTCCTTCTTCTCTTAGAAAAAGTGAGATAACCTTTCCCAGCCTCCCTTGCAGGTCACTATGGTCAGATAATTAAGTTCTGGCCAATGAAATGTCAAAAGAAGTGATAATGTGCTGCATCCATGCCTAGCCCCTACATCCTTCCCAAATGTAATACTCCTTGGTCTTTCCCCTTCTGCAGCAATCTTCAAACCATACTAAAGATGGCACAGAAAACATAATGGGAAAAGTCCCCAAACCACCATTGTGAAGAAAACCATCAGAAACACTATTTTGGGCTTGACATAAAAGAAATACACCATTTCTTCTCCTTCTTTTCCAACATCCATGAATTCAAACAAAAATATATTGAACCCTATCTACAAAGTATCATGGCAGTTTCTCTTGCCTACTTCCTTACCATTTAGGTATTATAGAACATTTTAAAGTGTGTAAGGTATCTTTATTCAAGGATCTCATATACATAATAGCATAGGATAATAATATATGCTAAAAAAAGCTATAGTGAGATGAAAATTTTATTGGAGGAATGAAGGGTCATCAGTAAATTCAGTACCGAATTCATAAAAGGTTTCTTAATCATTTCTTTGTACAACAAAAATACAGCTAACAGCTAATAGTTTACACAGACTGAGTGCCACAGTAGACAACATAGCCTCAATCTAATCTGAATTCTACTGCAGGATCTGACCTTCTCAAGTTTTCTGAACTTGAGCAAATCACTTCTCTGCCCTGGGCCTTAATTTCTACAGATAAATAAGGTAATAAATAATCTCACATTAGATGAAATAATAGTCTTCGTGGAATCCTCTCTTTTATCAAACACAAAGTAAAGTTAATTTTTCAAGCAGATGCCTAGGAAAAGAAATATTAAAAAAGGAAGCTTCCACAGTGGCTTTGTACTACACTCTCCTGCAATAAAGACTTACCTTATGAGATACCTTCATTCCTATACTCAAAACATCATCCATGACCTGGCCGGTGTGGCTCAGTTGGTTGGAGCATGTCCCCATGCACCGAAGGGTGGCAGGTTTGATTCCCAATCAGGGCACATACTCAGGTTGTGAGTTTGATCCCTGGTCAGGGTGCATATAGGGGGCAACCCATTAATGTATCTCTCTCACCTCTCTCCCTCTATCTCCCTCTGTCTCCCTCTGTCTCTGTCTCTCTCTCTCTCTCACACACACACACACACACTCTCTCTCTCTCTCTCCCCCTCCCTCCCTCCCTCCCTCCCTCTCTAAATCAACAGAAACATCCCCAGGTGAGGATTAAAACACACACACACACACACCCATCAGTGCAAAGGTATATTTTCAACGATTAATTTTGTTTCTTTATCACTAAAGAAATAACATGATATCATTCTTTCTACCATGTTTATCAACTAATTTTAAACTTTCCACTCTGAAAAGTATAATAACACTGACAAAACTAAAAAGAAGAAAGGAGAAAAGAATATCTGCAATCCCTTAGGAAAGGGATTCTCCACAGGCAAATCTCTTCTGTAGAATCAGACATTTGAAAGAAGATTATTAAAGCCAGGTAAGACTGAATATATGACCCAAATACGACATACTCTTCCTCACAGAATAAGAACTACAAATGACTTATTCAAGAACACAGTTGTATACAGAATTAAAAAAAAAAAAAACCACCTTCCATAAACAAATGAATCCTCTATTTATCATTGCAAGCTACATCATAAGGTACACAGAGAACTTTTAATAAAACCAATGTGACTGAAATTTCAAAAGAGCAAGTAGCACTGTAAATCATTCTCGCTCTTTTATTCATGACAAAAGAAATCCAGACATTCCTTATCGCTTTGGTAACTTAAAGATGAAGAAATTAAAGGAAAAATATCTAAATATTTCTAACACTTTCGTTAATTTATAAGCTTTAAATAATCCTTTTCTGTGATCATAATTCACAGTATTTCCCAATAGGACTTTTTCACTGATACCCAATGATATCAGAAATAACAATTAGAGAAATATTCAAATGTATAACATGACAGCTTGCTTACATAATAAATTTTCATCCAAAGTTACCTGTAGCACAATTTTTCTCATTAACTAGAAAGAGAACTTTTTAAAACCTTGGCCTTCAAATCCTATCCAAAGCCAAGGGAAGTATTAAAAAGAAAAGAAAAGAAAACTTCATCAAAGCACCAATATAAACCATTATAATCAATCAGTATTTACCGAACATGCACACAGCAAAAATATATATACACTAGTGAATAATTCATTTCTCTATTAAGAAAATAAAACACATCTTTTATTCATGTGGTCCAATAAAGATGAAGGACTTCCCTAAAATGACAAGAAACAATTAACACACTTAGCAAAAGAATTTAACAAAATACTTGCATAGTCATTAGCCAACCTATCATAAGCCCAAGACCTACTTGCTTCATGGCAGTCTCTCCAATTTTGTCTGAATGTTTGCGGATACTCTCCAGAAAGTCTTTGAGATCAGACATGGAGACGTCCTTAATTTCTTCTCGAAGCTTGGGGATGTTATCCACCATCACCTTGCAGAATCGATAGTGGCTTACTTGAGGCAGATAGGTATGCTCTAGATGTTCCAGAGTTTTCAGTGCAGGATAATGCCTATAAAAGGAATTACATCACCTTTAGCTCAACTCAGTCTTCTTTAGGGTCACAGATACATTCCTCAGGCAAATTTCTAGCCTGAATTAGTTTTCATGTACATTAAGACAAATCCAGTATCAAGTTTTAATAAAAACAGCAATGAAAAAAATATCAAATTATTAACAATTAATAAATATATAAATTAAAAGACAAAAAAGTATAATAAAAAATACTATTCTCTTTTCATTTCATTAAAAGATAATATTTAGAGCAATGATTATAACACTGTATTGTTGAATCTATAAGATATATGACAAGATAGTACAAAAGAGGAAGAAAATGGAGCTAAGTTGAAGCAAAATTACTACTATACTACAGCAATATGTATCACCAATGACATAAAGTAGACTATAATAAATTAAGATGCAGATTATACTCCACAGAGCAGCCTCTAAGAAAATAACTAAAAAATAATAATCATGAAAGCCCTGGCTGGTTTCGCTCAGTGGTTAGATCATCGGCCCAGGGACCAAAGGGTTGTGAGTTTGATTCTGGTCAAGGGCACGTATCTAGGTTGCAGGTTATATCTCCTGCCCCAGTGGGAGTCGTGTGGGATACAATCAGCCCCCCCACCACCACCAATTCCACTCTCTCTAAAAATCAATGGAAAAATATTCTGGGGTGAGGATTAAAAAATAAAAAATGTACTAGGTATTTTAAACAGCACACTAAAAACAAGTTAACACACACAAAAAAAGAGAGAAAGCAGAAATAAGAACAAAAGACATGAAAAGCACAGAAAACCAAAGAGCAAAATCCAACCATATCAATGATTACATACACTCCAATCAAAAGGCAGGCATTGTCAGAAAGAATTTAAAAAGCATAATACGCCCTGGCTGGTGTGCCAAAGTGGTTAGAGCATCAGCCTGGGAATTGAAGAGTCTTGGGTTCAATTTCCGGTTAAGGGCATGTACCTGGGTTGCAGGTTCAATCCCTGGCCCCAAATGTGGTCTGCAGGAGGCAACCAATCTATGTCTCTATCTTACATCGATGCTTTTCTCTCTCTCTCTCTCTCTCTCTCTCTCAATCCCTCCCTCCCTTCCACTCTCTCTAAAAAAATAAATACATAAAAAGCATGATACATATATATGTTGTCTACAAAAAACATACTTTAAATTCAAAGATACAAATAAGCTATAAAGTAGAAAATTGAGTAAGATATACCATGCAAAAAGTAATTATAAAAACGCTTAAATAGCTATGTTTTATAAGATAAAATAGTTTAAGACAATAAATATTGCTGTTAATGTAGAGAAATATTTCATGATAAAGGGACAATATTTATCTGACAGGGAGAAGAGTTTCCATAAGCATAAGAGAATAATAAAGGTGACGAGGTAAAAACAACATGAACATAATTAATAATAATAAAGAGGAAACAAGGACCTGGTAAAGATTATTTGTAACATATACACTTGAGGTTTTCTTTAAAAGCAGTGAACAAAACCTCAAAAGAATGAAAAGAAAAGGTCAACATATGAAAAAAGAAGTTGAACTGATATGTGAAGAAATCCAAAACAAAAACATAATTTTGTCACTCAAACTGCTAAATATTTCTTAAAAGATCACAGGTACTATTTTCAGGAGTTTCAATAAATGATCATTCACAGCCTGCTAGTAAGCCAATATGCATTAATGATACAAATTTTCAATGAAGAATTTTACCTAAACAAGTATTCTAAACAGCTGCATTTCAAAAAAAAAAAAAAAAAAGATTAGATGTGCAAAACATGCATAAGCTTCTTGAATTAGTTATATTTATTAACAGATAAAAACCCAATATACTTGTCTAATTACAAGTAATTAAACATATTATCATATATCCATATAGTAAAAGACTAATAAAATAGCAAAATTTTTACAATACTGTAAATATGAAAAATATTTCAAAAACAAAACTTACAAGTATAATCATAACATTTTTCAAAATTATAAATATGTATACATGTATTGATTATGAATACACTCATGCATGAGCTATATAATCACTAAATACACCCACACATAAGTACATAGACAAATATACACAAAAATGTTAACCATGATTTTTCCCCCTTTGGATAGCAACATTATGGTTGATAATTTTCTTCATGTTTTTAATTTCCTAATTTCCAATGATAAATTTATATAGGAAAAACTCAGTTTCAAATCTAGAAATAAAAGGTTTATACCCAGCCCTATTTTAGATTTTAAGAGTGAATTTCACAGTAGATACTTAGCCTCTCCTTGCTCAAATGCACTTAACACCACAAATTAAAGACTAGAGATTGGTTTTGTTTTAACTTTTTGTTGTTTTTTCCCTCATGTGTTCTGAAAAATCAAATAGTCCAAATACATGGAGGAAAGGTTTATTTCTTCTAAATTTAGAAATAAAAATACAAATACTATAGTTTAATCTGAAATGGTTGCTTTTAATAAAATTTTACAGACTCAAAAACAGTGCAATTCGCATGGTTTAGTGTAAACAGAATGGTGTTTATAGTACAATTAGGTATGAAAAGCTATGTGTAATAAAATGCAACTCCTCTAGAGAGAAAGTTTAGAAGGGGTAGAAAGCCAGAAATTAAGCCAAAAAGATAAACACACTTTGGGGTTTAGTTATATTTTAGAACATTGTTTATAGAATGAGAAAAATCTAACAATGTTGCCTGCAGACACAAGGCACATTCACTGATGAGACACATGGCTTCATGCCGAAAACATCTGGTCTGTCAACTCCACATTTTTCAAGGCTAATTAGTATAAAACCCGGTGATTCTGGGCAACAAAGAATGTCACCTTATTTTCCTATTGTCTTTTCACTACCATATTCATTTTCCCACTATAACAGATAAAAAAGATTATTCAAATTTCTGGTATATTTCAAATATCAGTGACAGGTTAAAGAATGATAGCCAATTAAACACCTGTATAGATAGCAGACACTAAAAGAAAAAAAAAATTCTATTTCCAACAACCATGGAAATCTAGAACAAGATTTTGACATTACTTTTGATAACCTTTAACATTATTAAAACTGAATCAAAAACCAAATTCTAAGTTTTATTTGCATGTATACTAACTGTTCCCCCTCTCTCCCTCATGAAGGCTACCTAATAGTGATAAGAGCAGAAAGAAAATAAATAAACTAAAAGTAGAGAATAAAAAGAAAAGTAGCAGGAAAAGAGGTCTAAAAAACCCTATAAACTGGATAACTAAGGTCAGAATAATTTAGACATGGTCAAATGCTATCATGAGAAACACTGGTTTTAGGCCAATTAAATGTTGGTACTTTCTTGCCATGGTATGGAACACTTTCACAAAAATGGTTTTAAAAATTCTAATAAGTGATCTTTTAAAGCAAATCAAAACTACCCAGGAGAAATTTTTTAAAACTCAGAATATGATAAAAACATAAAATAAAAACTTTCGCCACAGAAAATATTAGTGCCTTTCCTATTCCAAGAGCATCGTTAACAAATATTTAATCCCTTCTGTGAGCTAAAGGTAGAAAGATCGTAAGTATCTTTTCTTAGGGAACATAAAACCTAGTAGTATAATCAGTGATTACAGCTTTAAAAAAAAAAAAAACACTAAACTGCCCAGCTGGTGTGGCTCAGTGGACTGAGCGTTGTCCCATGGACTGAGAAGTCCAGGTTCGATGCCCTATCAGGACACATGCCCAGGTTGCAGACTTGATCCCCAGTAGGGACAGCCAATTGATGTTTCTCTCTCACATCGATGCTTCTATCTCTTTCTCTAAAAAATCAATAAGAACATATTTAAAAAGAAAAAAAACCTACACTTCCATTCATAAAGAAGTAATAAGAAACAGACATGAGCCCTGGCCAGTCTGGCTCAGCAGTTAGAGCGTCGGCCTGTGGTCCGGAGAGACCCGGGTTTGGTTCCCGCTAAGGGCGCGTACTTCGGTTGCAGTTTGTCCCTCCCTTCACGTCGATGTTTCCCTCTCTCTCTCCCTTCCTCTCTCTCCCTCCCACTCTATCTGTACAAAAAATGGAAAAATATCCTCGGGTGAGGATAATAAAAAAAAAAGAAACAGACATGAACTCTCACTTTTAAAAAGTAGAATACGCCCTGGCTAGTTTGGCTCAGCGGTTAGAGCGTCAACCTGCAGTCCAGAAAGACCTGGGTTCGGTTCCTGCTAAGGGCACATACCTCGGTTGCAGTTTGTCCCCAGCCCTGGTTGGTCGTGCGGGTGGCAGCCACTCGATGTGTCCCTTTCACGTCAATGTTTCTCTCTCTCTCTCTCTTCCTCTTCCTCCCTTCCACTCTATCTGAACAAAAAATGGAAAAATGTCCTCAAATGAGGATAAAAAAAAATAAAAAATAAAAAGTAGAATACTGGCTAAAATATATAAAACAATTGTTTTCAGATAGTAGACATCAGGTAACACAATAGTAATCTCTGAAAACAAGGAAACAAACAAGGTGAGTTTAATAATTATCTGAGTTATCTACATGAAAGTGATTTCTAGATCATGGTCAGAGTCAGAGAAAACCCAAGCAGAACCCAGCAGCTTAGAGCATTAGCATCAGAGAGGAGATTTCAGGAAAACTGATGCACCTTGAGGTTAGGCAGCAGAAATTATAAAAGAAGGAAGGAAGGAAGGAAGGAAGGAAGGAAGGAAGGAAGGAAGGAAGGAAGGAAGGAAGGAAGGAAGGAAGGAAGGAAGGAAGGAAGGAAGGAAGGCAGGCAATCAGAGAAAGAAAGAAAGAGAGAGAGAGAGAGAGAGAGGAAGAGAGGAAGGGAGGGAGGGAGGGAGGGGAGGAAGAAAGGGAGAGAGAAAGAAAGCAGAGAAAAGAAATGCAGAAATCCACACAGCGGTTCCCTTAAGTCTTTGCTGAGTACTAGGCCAGGTACAGGAAAAAATAAGTTCCACATGGACAGACAAAAGGAAGGAAGAAAAAGAGGGGAAGAGAGGGAGAAAAGGGAAGAAGAGAGAGACAGATACCAG